AACTAACTAACTAACTAACTAACTAACTAACTAACTAACTAACTAACTACTAACTAACTAACTAACTAACTAACTAACTAACTAACTAACTAACTAACTAACTAACTAACTAACTAACTAACTAACTAACTACTAACTAACTAACTAACTAACTAACTAACTAACTAACTAACTAACTAACTAACTAACTAACTAACTAACTAACTAACTAACTAACTAACTAACTAACTAACTAACTAACTAACTAACTAACTAACTAACTAACTAACTAACTAACTAACTAACTAACTAACTAACTAACTAACTAACTAACTAACTAACTAACTAACTAACTAACTAACTAACTAACTAACTAACTAACTAACTAACTAACTAACTAACTAACTAACTAACTAACTAACTAACTAACTAACTAACTAACTAACTAACTAACTAACTAACTAACTAACTAACTAACTAACTAACTAACTAACTAACTAACTAACTAACTAACTAACTAACTAACTAACTAACTAACTACTAACTAACTAACTAACTAACTAACTAACTAACTAACTAACTAACTAACTAACTAACTAACTAACTAACTAACTAACTAACTAACTAACTAACTAACTAACTAACTAACTAACTAACTAACTACTAACTAACTAACTAACTACTAACTAACTAACTAACTACTAACTAACTAACTAACTAACTAACTAACTAACTAACTAACTAACTAACTAACTAACTAACTAACTAACTAACTAACTACTAACTAACTACTAACTAACTAACTAACTAACTAACTAACTAACTAACTAACTAACTAACTAACTAACTACTAACTAACTAACTATAACTAACTAACTAACTAACTAACTAACTAACTAACTAACTAACTAACTAACTAACTAACTAACTAACTAACTAACTAACTAACTAACTAACTAACAAATAAACAAACTAACTAACTAACTTACATCACGGACTGTGGGCTACAGTTCTGAATATAGTAAAGTGGAATATAACAGCTAGAGTTCTCAAATTTTTCGGGGCCCCTGTAGTATCAACATGAATATTTAGGACAAAAAATGGGCGGACTAGCAATATGGGGCGTTGCACCTTCCATAGGAATTAAAATCAAAAATAAGTTTAACTGGGAAACTATTGGAATCTTAAATTTTTGCAAGAAGACCTTTCACATCCATGTGAATATTTGGGTAAAACATTGGTGGACATTCAATAAGGGGCTAAGCACCTTCCATATTATTTAAATACAAAAATTCGTATATCTGGGAAACTATTTGAGCTAGACTCTTCAAAATACGTAACGTGTTTTCTTAAATTTACATTGATTATAGGGTAGCAAAACACACTGGGTATACATAACTAGTTTTAATAATATTTCAAAATAGTTGGTCACAAATAGCCCAAAAAGGATATAATAATTATAATATTGAAAAAGCACGAGTTATTTTTTAACTACAAAGTCCATAAATAAGAAAAACAACAGAATAAAATAAATTCTATAATAAAATAACATTTAAAACAGGAAACTTTGTTTTTTAACCTTTTTTCAAATGTTTAAGTATTTGTAAAGTTGTAAGTAGTATGTGTTAAATAAAAAATTTTTATTTTAACTAAAAAAAGGACCTCAGAGTCAGGATCTTACAAAAAAAAAGAGTTAATTTCCCCTATTAATACTCTAACCCTTACTTACTCGTCTTCTTGTTTCTCTTCATCTATCTTATTTTTAGTTTTTTGTTTTTCTTTTAAAATAAAAATGGTAACAGTTGGTCTAATACCCGTTCGTATTCGTATTTATATCCTTTTTGTCGTACTGCGCGTGCGTACGTACATACATAAGTTTTTATACATAGTCTTCTTCCATTTTACAGTTTTTTTTTTCCTTTTGGAAGGTGTCATGTTGACAATGCTTCTTAATGCTGCTGACTGGATGCTATTTTGTGTTTAATTCTACTGAATCCGAAAAAATATTTATTTGGGGTTTTATATTTTTTGTTAATAAAACATTCAATCATTATTTTGTTACCGAAGGACTGCTCAATTATGCACGTGCATCAGTTTTTGGTTGGGATTTGTGGCGTCAGTTGTTGCCATTGTTACAAACATAATGACGACTACTTTTAAATATCACATGTGTTTATTTTGGATTGTCAGACAGTACAGAAAAATTGGGGGAAAATAGTTCTGCCAAGTAAAATGGAGGAGCTGCTGAAATTAACCACATACTTAGGTTCTAAAAAGGAGGGATTGTACTAGCATAGTCTACATTCTAGTTTATAGTTAATCCAGTCTATGTTTGTTGTAGTCTATAGTTGGTCTAGTCTATAGTCTAGTCTAACTAACTAACTAACTAACTAACTAACTAACTAACTAACTAACTAACTAACTAACTAACTAACTAACTAACTAACTAACTAACTAACTAACTAACTAACTAACTAACTAACTAACTAACTAACTAACTAACTAACTAACTAACTAACTAACTAACTAACTAACTAACTAACTAACTAACTAACTAACTAACTAACTAACTAACTAACTAACTAACTAACTAACTAACTAACTAACTAACTAACTAACTAACTAACTAACTAACTAACTAACTAACTAACTAACTAACTAACTAACTAACTACTAACTAACTAACTAACTAACTAACTAACTAACTAACTAACTAACTAACTAACTAACTAACTAACTAACTAACTAACTAACTAACTAACTAACTAACTAACTAACTAACTAACTAACTAACTAACTAACTAACTAACTAACTAACTAACTAACTAACTAACTAACTAACTAACTAACTAACTAACTAACTAACTAACAAATAAACAAACTAACTAACTAACTTACATCACGGACTGTGGGCTACAGTTCTGAATATAGTAAAGTGGAATATAACAGCTAGAGTTCTCAAATTTTTCGGGGCCCCTGTAGTATCAACATGAATATTTAGGACAAAAAATGGGCGGACTAGCAATATGGGGCGTTGCACCTTCCATAGGAATTAAAATCAAAAATAAGTTTAACTGGGAAACTATTGGAATCTTAAATTTTTGCAAGAAGACCTTTCACATCCATGTGAATATTTGGGTAAAACATTGGTGGACATTCAATAAGGGGCTAAGCACCTTCCATATTATTTAAATACAAAAATTCGTATATCTGGGAAACTATTTGAGCTAGACTCTTCAAAATACGTAACGTGTTTTCTTAAATTTACATTGATTATAGGGTAGCAAAACACACTGGGTATACATAACTAGTTTTAATAATATTTCAAAATAGTTGGTCACAAATAGCCCAAAAAGGATATAATAATTATAATATTGAAAAAGCACGAGTTATTTTTTAACTACAAAGTCCATAAATAAGAAAAACAACAGAATAAAATAAATTCTATAATAAAATAACATTTAAAACAGGAAACTTTGTTTTTTAACCTTTTTTCAAATGTTTAAGTATTTGTAAAGTTGTAAGTAGTATGTGTTAAATAAAAAATTTTTATTTTAACTAAAAAAAGGACCTCAGAGTCAGGATCTTACAAAAAAAAAGAGTTAATTTCCCCTATTAATACTCTAACCCTTACTTACTCGTCTTCTTGTTTCTCTTCATCTATCTTATTTTTAGTTTTTTGTTTTTCTTTTAAAATAAAAATGGTAACAGTTGGTCTAATACCCGTTCGTATTCGTATTTATATCCTTTTTGTCGTACTGCGCGTGCGTACGTACATACATAAGTTTTTATACATAGTCTTCTTCCATTTTACAGTTTTTTTTTTCCTTTTGGAAGGTGTCATGTTGACAATGCTTCTTAATGCTGCTGACTGGATGCTATTTTGTGTTTAATTCTACTGAATCCGAAAAAATATTTATTTGGGGTTTTATATTTTTTTGTTAATAAAACATTCAATCATTATTTTGTTACCGAAGGACTGCTCAATTATGCACGTGCATCAGTTTTTGGTTGGGATTTGTGGCGTCAGTTGTTGCCATTGTTACAAACATAATGACGACTACTTTTAAATATCACATGTGTTTATTTTGGATTGTCAGACAGTACAGAAAAATTGGGGGAAAATAGTTCTGCCAAGTAAAATGGAGGAGCTGCTGAAATTAACCACATACTTAGGTTCTAAAAAGGAGGGATTGTACTAGCATAGTCTACATTCTAGTTTATAGTTAATCCAGTCTATGTTTGTTGTAGTCTATAGTTGGTCTAGTCTATAGTCTAGTCTTTAGTTTGAGTTTCCTAAATCTATATTGCTCAATAATTTTGAATTCTTTTAATACAATTTGAATACAATAGAGAAGGGAATGAAATGAAATATTGGGAAATTCTCTTGAAACCATAGTGCAATATTATTTTGTTTTGAACCGATTTAAAGAAAAAATATATAATTATGATGACATCGAAAAAATTGAAATTAACAGTTCGAATTCAGTTCTAGTTCAGTTTTAGTTCAGTTCCAGTTTAATTCTAGTTCAGTTCTGGTTCAGTTCTAGTTCAGTTCTAGTTCAGTTGTAGTTTAAGTTCAGTTCTAGTTCAGTTCTAGTTCAGTTCTACTTCAGTTCTAGTTCAGTTCTAGTTCAGTTCTAGTTCAGTTCTAGTCCAGTTCTAGTTCAGTTCTAGTTCAGTTCTAGTTCATTTCTAGTTCAGTTCTAGTTCAGTTCTAGTTCAGTTATAGTTCAGTTCTAGTTCAGTTCTAGTTCAGTTCTAGTTCAGTTCTAGTTCAGTTCTAGTTCAGTTCTAGTTCAGTTCTAGTTCAGTTCTAGTTCAGTTCTAGTTCAGTTCTAGTTCAGTTCTAGTTCAGTTCTAGTTCAGTTCTAGTTCAGTTCTAGTTCAGTTCTAGTTCAGTTCTAGTTCAGTTCTAAATCAGTTCTAGTTTAGTTTTAGTTTAGTTCTAGTTAAGAAAGCTTAGTTCCCCTAATATGGCAGAACCTAGCACTGTACATTGATTCGAAATTAAACAACTCTTCAAATTTCAAACTTTAATAATGATTTGAAAATTATATAATAAATGTTGCGTTTTAAAATCTTTCTAACGAAATATGTACATACATATTTCAAATCAATAAAAATACATTTAATTTAAAATTAACTGACACGAAGCCAACATTTTGTCCAAAGATTCCACAGTGGTAGCGACCACATTATCGGCACAACTGCGACCTTCTTGAACAGCCTGTTCAGCCAATTGGCGGGTATGAACTAAAGTCATGCTGGCAGTATTTAAAATAGCAGCAATTTGTTTATTTATCTCGGCAATTTTTCCACATAACAGCCAACATGGCTGGCGAAACCGCTTCCACTATCAACACCTTCACACTGTTGGGGTAAAGCAATAATATTCTTAATATTTTGCTCCAGAAGACTTTCAAAATCAGCGGCATCGTTTTGAAATGTAGTTAAGATGTCGCTAAGATTTTGTGTACATTTAGTCAGATCGGTATCAATACGTTTTTGCAATTCATCCAATGTTACTAGAGGTTGACATTGTGAGGCACTGATGTTATTCTCAAAATCCTCTAGGGGGTTGTGAGAGTTGTTTAAGGGCGGAGCTAACGACTACTTCAATATTACCAACTAAAGTTTTGGTAGTACGTTGCATTTTGGCTGATAATTTAGATAAAAGTTCACTGGTTACACTGGAAGTGTGTTGGGATAAATTATCCATCATGTTAGAGATGGGTCCATTGTTGTTATCATCGGCTGGAGCTAGGTCAGAGGAGTCTTGTAAAACCTTAAGATTTATTTAATGTTAATGAATTCTTTTTCAAAAGTATTTAAATAAATATTCATTTGTTACATTGGATGTGTGTTCCGATAAGTTATCCATTATATTGGAGTCGAGTCCATTGTTATTATTAACTTGGGCTGGTTCAAAATTGTCAACAGCCTGTATTTATTTAAAGAAAATATCTAAACAATTTTAAAAAGGGAAAAATCCTCATACTTACTTGGGATACGGATCCATTTTCGATATCAACTTGAGCCAGCTCAGTAGTACTCGCAACCTACATATTTATTTCAAATTATTAAAAATTTTCTTAAAATATAATTTGTAATTTTTCTTACACTTTTGGCGCTTAGGAAGCAAAAACTTAAAATCAATACTTTTATCATTTTACAGAACTTTAAGCATCAGCGTTTAATTTGAAACTGTTTTCTTTAGATTTTTTAAAATATATATTAGTAATTGTTCAATAATTTATGAGTAAATAATACTCCCCTTCATTTGAGTACTTGAGATATGAAGAAGTGTTTTTACTTGTAGTCCCCTTGTAGCATTGATCAAATATTTTCCTTGTTGTCTCATTGTAGTTTTGATCAAATATTGATAAAAACTTTTCAATGTCGCTTTTGATTTAACAATGCACTTTGTTAAATTAATATTTTTTACATAAATTTTATCTTAAATTATGTATTATTTATTTAACTTAAAGGAAATTGCCAAATTTTTAAAGAAATTTTTGGTTAAAATTCTATCAGTTTAAAATTTTTCTTGCTAGAATTGGTTCACAATGAAATTTTATTTAATTTTATGTTTAACGTTTATTCTGGTAAAATTTATATTTTTTCTTAAAAAATGAATAATCAACATATAACTTTGTTTCCTTTTTAAGTTTTTTTCACTTAATGCCAAAATCTATTTACCCGAAATCTCTAAAAAGCATGGACCTCTCTATCAAGGCATACGTTTGCTTATTTTGAGCGAAAAACTCAATGCTGAACTAGCCTGGAATGACACCCAACTTCAAATTGAGGAAAATTCTGCTGTTCTACAAAAAGCCCACGATTATATAAACAATTACGAAAGAATAATCAATGAAAAACTTAATCAACTTAACAATCCAGAACATTCGGATGAGGTTAAGAAATGCTACAAACAATACGAAAGACAAATTGCCCGTTTTAATCGTGATCTCTTAGAAAATTATTTTGCTTGTAAACAGGCTCTCAATTCTAGTCTTTCACAGTTAAGAAATGAAATTGTCCAGGAAATTGAATATATTCATGAAGCTGCCATTGAGATACAGGAATTGGTATATGAATGTAATGTCACCGATTTAAAAAGAGTCGATCGTGAGAATCATCATGCCGGTGTGACACTTTGTGTTCTCTCACGGTTGGGAGAGATCAATCAACATATGCTGGAAGCGTCCTCAAGTTTCTCTAAACATATTGGCTAGATTGAGCATTAACCAGGAGGATAGTGATCAGTTTGAGGAAATGCAAGGAAAGACTACAAATATTTGCTTAGATTTTCAATATTTAAGAGATGAATTTGAAGCGATTTATGAGAATGTTATGTTGTGTGTAAAGAAAATTTAATAAATGTTGGAATTGCCAAGTGCTGCACAGTGGTATAGGAAAAAAAAAGAGGGAAATAATTCGGTAACTTCTAAACGGTTAATCCGATTTTAATGAAATTTGGTGTGCACAAAGAGGAGGTGTTGTCGAGTTTAGGTTTTGAATTTGGACCTTATAGGCCAACCAGGGGCCCGGCGGGGGGTCATCAAATTAGGACACCTCGGCTATGTTAAATTTTTAAAACGATCCTATTTCTTCATTTGAGTTCCGATTTAAAAAAAATTTCGTATATAGAATCTCCTCATCGAGCACTATAAAAAATGTTGTCATAGCAGTAAATTATCTCTTATAGTTTAGGAGATATTCGCATTTGAAAATTAAAATTTTAAAATTTTTACCGTCCTTACTTTAGTTTTTTTTGATAATAGCAGGTCCAAATATTCCCGATTTTCGCCATTTTGTTTTATTCGCTTAACAACAAGTTTATATATCAAGCAGTGAAAGAATTATGTAAAAATCATGACTGAGTCCAAAGTTATAGGCATTTTAATTTAAAAAATTAAAAAAGGCGATTTTTTGTAATTTTTTTGGGAAAAAAGTATCTTTTTCTTTTAAGTTATCTAAAAAGTTTCTAAGAAGATGTATATAGAATTTATACTTTTTGGAAAGCTGACTTTACATAAAGTACGATAAATGAAACAAAACCTAAAAATTTTTGATACCGAGGGGACCAGGTCCATCCAAAAAAACCCTATTTTTTATGGAAAATTAAATTTTGAGCAAAAATTCTCAAATCGCATAGTCGATATCAAATTATAGTGACCTGTTTTATATGACCCAATATGTTCTTAATCATTTTGTAACGGGTTTCGATAACCCCGCCCCTGGTATGGATATAATAGGCAAAAAACTAAAAAATCCCATTTTTGGGATTTTTTAAAACTTTTTTGGGAATTCCGGGATTTCTAATAAGAAAATTCGAAATTTTGATTTAATTTTGGATTTTAAGTAAAAAATCTACCTAACTGTAAAATTTCATCAAAAAATATTCATAAATAAAATTTTTATTGCAATTAGAAAAATTTGTATCTTCGCAAAAACTGAATAAAAAACATTTTTTAATTTTTTTTAAAAAAGTATTCCGCGAATTTTTTAATTTTCAAAAATTATATACAGTTTTGAAAAATAGACAAAATTACCTTCCATTGATATATAACATGCCTACCTAATGTTTTTTAAGTGACAAATTAATTAGGGAAAACTCAACATCTTTTAGAAAATTTGCCTAGCACTATTATTTTCATCCATAAGGTTAACTCTTAAATTTGTTACAATATGGATGAAAATAATAGTGCTAGGTAAATTTTCTAAAAGATGTTGAGTTTTCCCTAATTAATTTGTCACTTAAAAAACATTAGGTAGGCATGTTATATATCAATGGAAAGGTAATTTTGTCTATTTTTCAAAACTGTATATAATTTTTGAAAATTAAAAAATTCGCGGAATACTTTTTTTAAAAAAAATTAAAAAATGTTTTTTTTCAGTTTTTGCGAAGATACAAATTTTTCAAATTGCAATAAAAATTTTATTTATGAATATTTTTTGATGAAATTTTACAGTTAGGTAGATTTTTTTACTCAAAATCCAAAATTAAATAAAATTTCGAATTTTCTTATTAGAAATCCCGGAATTCCCAAAAAAGTTTTAAAAAATCCCAAAAATGGGATTTTTTGGTTTTTTGCCTATTATATCCATACCAGGGGCGGGGTTATCGAAACCCGTTACAAAATGATTAAGAACTTATTGGGTCATATAAAACAGGTCACTATAATTTGATATCGACTATGCGATTTGAGAATTTTTGCTCAAAATTTAATTTTCCATAAAAAATAGGGTTTTTTTGGATGGACCTGGTCCCCTCGGTATCAAAAATTTTTAGGTTTTGTTTCATTTATCGTATTTATGTAAAGTCAGCTTTCCAAAAAGTATAAATTCTATATACATCTTCTTAGAAACTTTTTAGATAACTTAAAAAGAAAAAGATACTTTTTTCCCAAAAAAATGACAAAAAATCGCCTTTTTTTAATTTTTTAAATTTAAATGCCTATAACTTTGGACTCAGTCATGATTTTTACATAATTCTTTCACTGCTTGGTATATAAACTTGTTGTTAAGCAAATAAAAAATGGCGAAAATCGGAATATTTGGACCTGCTATTATCAAAAAAACTAAAGTAAGGACGGTAAAAATTTTAAAATTTTAATATTCAAATGCGAATATCTCCTAAACTATAAGAGATAATTTACTGCTACGACACATTTTTTATAGTGCTCGATGAGGAGATTCTATATACGAAATTTTTTTTAAATCGGAACTCAAATGAAGAAATAGGATCGTTTTAAAAATTTAACATAGCCGAGGTGTCCTAATTTGAGGACCCCCCGCCGGGCCCCTGGTTGGCCTATAAGGTCCAAATTCAAAACCTAAACTCGACAACACCTCCTCTTTGTGCATACCAAATTTCATTAAAATCGGATTAACCGTTTAGAAGTTACCGAATTATTTCCCTCTTTTTTTTTCCTATACCACTGTGTGCTGTCAGGATAACCTAAAGTTCAGTTCCAGTACAGTTCTAATTGTTCAGTTCTAGTTCAGTTTAAGTTCTACTAGTTCTAGTACTAGTTCTAGTTCTAAAATTCAGTTCCAGTACAGTTCTAACTCTAGTGCAGTTTTAGTTCTAGTTCAGTACTAGTTTAGTTCATTTCTAGTTCTGTTCTAGTTCAGTTCTAGTTCTGTTCTAGTTCTGTTCTAGTTCTGTTCTAGCTCTGTTCTAGTTCTGTTCTAGTTCTGTTCTAGTTCTGTTCTGTTCTAGTTCTGTTCTAGTTCTGTTCTAGTTCTGTTCTAGTTCTGTTCTAGTTCTGTTCTAGTTCTGTTCTAGTTCTGTTCTAGTTCTGCTCTAGTTCTGTTCTAGTTCTGTTCTAGTTCTGTTCTAGTTCTGTTCTAGTTCTGTTCTAGTTCTGTTCTAGTTCTGTTCTAGTTCTGTTCTAGTTCTGTTCTAGTTCTGTTCTAGTTCTGTTCTAGTTCTGTTCTAGTTCTGTTCTAGTTCTGTTCTAGTTCTTCTAATTCTGTTCTAGTTCTGTACTAATTCTATTCTAGTTTTGTTCAAATTCTGTATTAAGTCGTAATTCTATACATAAGTATCATGTTTGACCTTCTGGTCCCATATCTTTGTGGACTCAATCTACTCGCACATGTAATTGCAAGCGATCTTCGCAAACTAACGTCCCCAACCAAGAAAAACGTTTTAATGCCAAACATTTTCTAATAAATTTGATTGATGGATAATAAAAATTGTACGAACAGAGCTGCACACACCTTCCAGGACTCAAACACCTTATGCCGACAACAAATTAATAAATTACACCCCAACGATCGTATTCAAACTCAAATTAAAGTATAAAATCCCATCGTTGCAAACGATGTTAAGAGAACAAGTAATAAAAATTAAAATGCTGAGAAATTCTTAGAAAATATTTATGAAATCCTTAAAGATCCTGGTTACAAAATAACCACATCATAACTGTCATGTTGTAAAAATCAAAAAGTCAAATCAATACAATTACACAAAACAAAAGAAGAGAGAGAACGAAAAAAAGAGGCAAAACCCTCAATATTGAGGAGTAGAAGGACCACAGACATAGAATTCACACACTCAGTACACAGAAGAAACTCTTGCACAAGTAGAGTAGAGTAGTTTTTGTGTGCAAGATCTGCTTGTTTATTATGTTAGAGGCGTGTTACGCCTGTCAACATTTAAACGTTGGTGGCCATTAAGTATACGAGACTCTAATGAGTATCAAACAATAGCGGAGTAATAGAACAATAGATCATGGTTGGCTGGTTGGTTGGTTAGATACTGGACTATTTGGCTAAAGTGGTCAAAAAGAATTTCATATTTATGCTTAAATAAAAACAATAGCGAAACATATTATTGAAAGGGATCACATCACTTATATTACTTTCTAGTGGTTTTCCCATTAAACAACAATAAGAACAATAGTTTTGCTAAGATTACCACACATTATAACTCCACATACTGTTACGATCATACTCTCTACTCTAATACTATTAACACTTGTCTTTAGTTTTTAAAGAAACAATAAAAATACTTTCAAAACCCAAGAGAAATGAAAAACCCTTCAAAATTGTTTATGGGATTTTTAAATAAACTAAGTTTACAATTGATTCATTACTGTTTTTTTTTTTTTTAATGGGAAATATTGTGGGCTTTTATTGTCCTTGATAGGTTTTCAATTTGCGTGAACCTTAACAAATTTTATTGCTTAATTTTTTAGTTTAAATTATATCTATTTGTATTAATCGTTGTCGGCTTTATTTTTTATTGTATTGTCCTTTTCGATGTGGAAAATTTTCAATTTGTTTAAAAGACAAAAAAGTATATCATTAGAAGAGAAATAACAATACATTTCTTTAGGTATGGAAATTATTAATTTAAATTTTTATTTTATTCAATTAATGTTTTTTTTGTTAATTTAGTTACGCAACTTTTACTTTCGCTACGATTAAAAATAAATCTTAAATGTTTTGTAAACATTTGTAATTTATGATTTAATTTTAGTTCAAATAAAAGTGAAACTGTTTTCCATTAAAGGTTTTTTTTTGAAAGTAACCGCTAGAATTGGAAATAAATCAAATATATTTAATAAATAATACTAAATAAAACTGAGGCTCAGCTGTTTCTTTTTTCACTAAGAAGAACAAAAGTTTAGACACCGTAGTGATAGTTACCCCGATTTCTTGTATATTGTTATATCAGGTCCTACCCATCTAAGTAATCACATATAACTCCAGATTCTAAGCAAAACTTAAAATTGCTATCTGGCTTATTTTAATAAAACATATCTCTCCCCATATGGGAAGTTTACCCACTTGGATAACCGATCCAGAAGTTATTACCTAAACATTATTCGTAATTCCAGTAATAAGTCCTTTGATCTGTCACATTCATTATTTATTGCAATATAAATTACTTAATCTTGAATTAAGTTAATAAAGAATTCCTTGAGGAAAAGTGATCTAAGTTTCTAGAGACCTTTAAAGTGTTAAACAAATTTGGTGACTTTGTGAAAGCCAACTAGGATTATGACTCGACCTACCAAATGGACAACATGCATGATTGAGTGAACGTATGCGTGTAATACTTCTAATCCAATATATCTGAAGTTTGGTGCTGCAGAAGTCGCAGCCGAAGACGTTATGCAATCGACTGTTACCGACTATTATCATATTAACAACATTATAGATGTTGTTAAGCTTGATGTGTAAAGCTGACTATCAAAGCCTTAAGAAACCATACAATAGGACAGTTTCCGACTAGTCCTCATAATAACCAATATCTAATCGTAGGTTTGCCAGAAAAAAAGTCTTACCATGGATTTCGATTTCATATGGTGGGTCAAGGTTAAACAAACCAGATATACAAAAATCTTTCATTGAAAAATCCGATATCAGTTCTAGTTCAATTTTAATACATTAAAACAGTTCTAATACAGTTTTAATACAGTTCTAGTTCAGTTTTAGTTCAATGCTAGTTCAGATCTAGATCAGTACTAGTTCTGGTTCATTTCTAGTTTAGTTTTAGTTCAGTTCCAGTTCAGTTCTAGTTAAGTTCTAGTTCAGTTTTAGTTCAGCTCTAGTTCAGTTCTAGTTCAGTTCTAGTTCAGTTCTAGTTCAGTTCTAGTTCAGTTCTAGTTCAGTTCTAGTTCAGTTCTAGTTCAATTCTAGTTCAGTTCTAGTTCAGTTCTAGTTCAGTTCTAGTTCAGTTCTAGTTCAGTTCTAGTTCAGTTCTAGTTCAGTTCTAGTTCAGTTCTAGTTCAGTTCTAGTTCAGTTCTAGTTCAGTTCTAGTTCAGTTCTAGTTCAGTTCAAGTTCAGTTCTAGTTCAGTTCTAGTTCAGTTCTAGTTCAGTTCTAATTCAGTTCTAGTTCATTCTAGTTCAGTTCTAGTTCAGTTCTAGTTCAGTTCTAGTTCAGTTCTAGTTCAGTTCTAGTTCAGTTCTAGTTCAGTTCTAGTTCAGTTCTAGTTCAGTTCTAGTTCAGTTCTAGTTCAGTTCTAGTTCAGTTCTAGTTCAGTTCTAGTTCAGTTCTAGTTCAGTTCTAGTTCAGTTCTAGTTCAGTTCTAGTTCAGTTCTAGTTCAGTTCTTGTTCAGTTCTAGTTCAGTTCTAGTTCAGTTCTAGTTCAGTTCTAGTTCAGTTCTAGTTCAGTTCTAGTTCAGTTCTAGTTCAGTTCTAGTTCAGTTCTAGTTCAGTTCTAGTTCAGTTCTAGTTCAGTTCTAGTTCAGTTCTAGTTCAGTTCTAGTTCAGTTCTAGTTCAGTTCAGTTCTAGTTCAGTTCTAGTTCATTCTAGTTCAGTTCTAGTTCAGTTCTAGTTCAGTTCTAGTTCAGTTCTAGTTCAGTTCTAGTTCAGTTCTAGTTCAGTTCTAGTTCAGTTCTAGTTCAGTTCTAGTTCAGTTCTAGTTCAGTTCTAGTTCAGTTCTAGTTCAGTTCTAGTTCAGTTCTAGTTCAGTTCTAGTTCAGTTCTAGTTCAGTTCTAGTTCAGTTCTAGTTCAGTTCTAGTTCAGTTCTAGTTCAGTTCTAGTTCAGTTCTAGTTCAGTTCTAGTTCAGTTTTAGTTCAGTTCTAGTTCAGTTCTAGTTCAGTTCTAGTTCAGTTCTAGTTCAGTTCTAGTTCAGTTCTAGTTCAGTTCTAGTTCAGTTCTAGTTCAGTTCTAGTTCATTCTAGTTCAGTTCTAGTTCAGTTCTAGTTCAGTTCTAGTTCAGTTCTAGTTCAGTTCTAGTTCAGTTCTAGTTCAGTTCTAGTTCAGTTCTAGTTCAGTTCTAGTTCAGTTCTAGTTCAGTTCTAGTCAGTTTCTAGTTCAGTTCTAGTTCAGTTCTAGTTCAGTTCTAGTTCAGTTCTAGTTCAGTTCTAGTTCAGTTCTAGTTCAGTTCTAGTTCAGTTCTAGTTCAGTTCTAGTTCAGTTCTAGTTCAGTTCTAGTTCAGTTTCTAGTTCAGTTCAGTTCAGTTCAGTTCACTTCTATTTCAGTCTAGTTCACTTCTAGTTCAGTTCTAGTTCAGTTCTAGTCAGTTCTAGTCAGTTATAGTTCAGTTCTAGTTCAGTTCTAGTTCAGTTCTAGTTCAGTTCTAGTTCAGTTCTAGCTCAGTTCTGTTCAGTTCTGTTCAGTTCTAGTTCAGTTCTAGTTCAGTTCTAGTTCAGTTCTAGTCAGTTCTAGTTCAGTTCTAGTTCTAGTTCAGTTCTAGTTCAGTTCTAGTTCAGTTCTAGTTCAGTTCTAGTTCAGTTCTAGTTCAGTTCTAGTTCAGTTCTAGTTCAGTTCTAGTTCAGTTCTAGTTCAGTTCTAGTTCAGTTCTAGTTCAGTTCTAGTTCAGTTCTAGTTCAGTTCTAGTTCAGTTCTAGTTCAGTTCTAGACAGTTCTAGTTCAGTTCTAGTTCAGTTCTAGTTCAGTTCTAGTTCAGTTTCTAGTCAGTTCTAGTTCAGTTCTAGTTCAGTTCTAGTTCAGTTCTAGTTCAGTTCTAGTTCAGTTCTAGTTCAGTTCTAGTTCA